GGACGCTGCCAGGGCTCTGGGTCATGTCCCCGTTAGTTGATAAATCTGCCTGGACTCTGTCCATGTGGCCTTCCCCTGGAAGATTTCAGGACATAATCACGGGCTAATCTAGACCTGCTCAGAGCTGATATTTGGCCCCAAATGTCAGTAAATGTCAGGAATGAATCATTTCCCAATTCATGTTGTTGCTGTTGTTGTTGTTGTTGTTGTAACTGTTATGGCTTTGTTGGGGTGACTTGTATTTCACTGACAGTAGTACCAATATTGATGAAAAGATGTTAATGCTCGGTTTAGCATTATTGCATTGAATGCAATGTTAATATTCAATGTTATAATATACATTGTTAATATTCAATGTTATAATATCTCTGAATATTTTTTGGAAAAAACCTTTCAAATAATTTATATAAAACTATATTTTTGCCAAACGTGATAAGGCCGCATAGCTTGGAATCCTAGATAAATCTCTGAGGACTGGGTCCCAGTATTAAATACATGGCTGGTGGATGTAAGGATCTGATATGTCTCAAATCATGGAGCTTTTTACCACCAATTATTTGAAGATATATCATTGTAACTCCAGTGTGAAGTTGCTGTTGTCTTGTTCCCACAGAAAACATGAACTATGTATAGTTATTTCATGTTCCTGTTCATCTTCTCAAGGCAAGGGAGTTTACAGACTTCAAAAGTCCAGTTTCCACCCTTGCCTAACTAGGCTGGAATTACTGGGCTCGATCGTTGCGCCACCAGTGGCTATTACCAATTATGTCCCTTCTAAGTCTCTCCTTTGGACCAATCAGATTCCACCTCTCGTATCACTTGCGTCTGCTCCACACAAAATGGTGGCGCCCAGTCAGGACGATCTGATTGATATTCAAGATCTATATTGTGATAATGCATCAAATCACGTGAGCACCTTGATTAAAAACATGAAAGGATTTGGAAAATATCTGCTGACGAGTTGGCGGTGCACATGCTTTGCAAATCCTGCAATCGATCGAAATCTGCACGACAATTTACAAACCGGATTTTGATTTCGGTGCGCAATTTTGATTGGACTATTATGCATAGACTCGTTAGTCCAGACAAAATGTAACTCCATAATACCAGCCTAGTTCGGCAAGGGTGGAAACTGGACTTTGATAGTCAGTTTACTCTCTTGCCCCGGGAAGATGGTTCCTGTTTAGGTAACCATGGTAACCGTATCAGTTTAAACTGTACGATACAGTGGAGTGAAGGTGTGTGGAAGTGACTAACATGATGAATGTGTGAATTTCTTTTGTCAGTCTTCTAAAAAGCATGGATCCATTGCCGTTCATAATCACATGACCGCCTCCGTGGTCTAGTGGTAGAGCTTCCGCCCAGAGAGCGGAAGGTCCGGGGTTCAATCCCCGGTTGCATCATACCAAAAGACGTTAAAAGATGGTACTTGTTGTTACCCTGTCTGGCACTCGGCATTAAGGGGCTTAAACAAGGACTGGTCGGCTCGGAGTCAGTATACTGTGTCTGAGTGGGGTATTCATGTTAAACTGAGGCATTGTATCTCAGTGAGCTAGCACTATAAATCGGCATCAGTCCGGACTAGTACAAGCAGCCACACAAACACACACACGTACATGCACGTCGCTATATAAGCACAATAATCTTGGACGCGACGTTAAACCCCATTTCACCTCACCTCATAATCACATACCACTACCAGAGTAATAGTCTGACAGGCATTACTTAGAAGTTGACGGATTACAGAGTATACACAATTGATGGATAACAGCTTCTTTATTATACTGTAATAGGATCTCTTGTTATTCATTAATTGTGTCTACTTTGTCACTGCCAGATTACCAGTTTTATATGGCTTTCCCATCTGACAAGCTGTTCATGGCTGTCATCTGCAAGCTAAGACGTTTTCATCACGTGATGGTAATGTGCTAGCGAGGTCGATGGTCAAATATAGTCCCAGCTTACAATGGCTAAGAGTCACTTCGGATATCTATTTTCAGTGGAAATGGCTGATCATGTCAGAGTTGGACAAACTTATTGTCTAGCTCATGGTGAAATATCATTCCGAGTGCGAAGATTGTTCAAAAGTATTTTTGTTGGCATCCTTGTATTTTAAGGGGCACACCTCATCATACACATGAGTGCCTTGTGGCAGGTGAAAAAAAACCATTCCATCCCTGGTAGACAAGGGTAGACAACTCTAAAGTCTGACCTGACTTACTGTGTCTGGTACTGGTGTCCCAGTGGTCTTAGTTGCTACAACCTGCTGTGCAGAGTTGCATCCCTTAGCTTTAGCTACCAGGGTCATCTTGTTGGAAGGTCAAATCCCACATTTGATCTTATTATTAACAAATCTCTGTAAACAGCATACTTTTAGTTTTAGTTGGATATTATCACGAAATTAAATGTCTACAGCCCCTTGATGATCGATCATCATCAATCCATGCTTGTCATAAGAAGTGACTAACGGGATCGGGTGGTCAGACTCGCTCTTGGTTGATATGTCATTGTATCCCAACTGCGTAGACCAGTGCTCGTGATGTCAATCTCTGGATTGTCCGGTCCAGACCTGATTATTTACACACCACTGTCATATAGCTGGAATATTGCTGAGTGCAGCGTTAAACAACAAACAAACAAACAAGTCAATGTCAACAAACTGCATCACCTGAACAGCATGAAACAAAGCAGCGAAGCCCAAACTCACACATCCTCTCTTTGTGAGTCATGGTGCTCTACTGATGCTGCCAAGTGCATGGGTAGTTTGTTCCCACCAGGGATCATTGATTTGTTTGGTTTCTGGCTTGACTGGCTACAGCTCTTGTGCCACTTAAACTCCCATTTGTTGGATAATTAATATTGTGAAGATAGCACAACTGATACACACCATGCATCGATAGGACTCCTGTAGGAAACATAGACCTCTAGGAGAAATAATGTATTTTGACACTGGATGCTTGATTGGTGTGTACCAGATGGTACTGGATACCGCCCCAAAGCGATGAACCAAGTCAAGGGTTCATGTAACTGCTGGCCCATTGGCCCATGGCCAGTTAAAATTACGACGGTTTGCTGAAACATTAATAGATTGCCTGTCTGGCTAGTCAAACTTTCACCCCTTCTCTGTGTATGTCTATTTTTTTTTAAGTTGGACACTGCTCGTGGAATATTTATTTTCTTTGATTGGACAGTGCTCGTGAATCATGTAATTTCGATGAGAAAATATTTAGAGGGGATGAGATCGTGTGGATGGTTGGCTCAAAGATCATCTTGGTGGAATGACCCAACCGGCGGCCATTTTGTAATGTTCTGAACAACATCTTTTTTTTGCTCATAAAATTCCCATGAAATGAGGCAAATGGAATCCAAGATTTAATCTTGGAGTGCGGGGAAATGACGTTGAGGGGTGAGAAATTCTTAGATTTTCAGGGGCGGTTGGGTAGCCTTGTGGTTAAAGCGTTCACTCGTCACACCTGGGTTCAATACCTGACATGGGTACAATGTGTGAGGCCCATTTCTGGTGTACCCCGCCGTGATATTGCTGAATAGTCCTTAAAGCGGCGTAAAAACATACTCACTCACTCTAAGATTTTCAGAGCTCCCTGGGTAACTCAGTCTAGCCTCCAACATTTACTTTTGGTCCAGTTTGTCTGGAGAAGGACAGGTAACTTTTGAAAGGAGCAAACCACGCTGGCTACATATGAATTTGTTGTTAAATCTACCCCTGGCCAGGAGTGTTGGATAGATCCATAGTGATGAACCAAGAGTACTGAATAATCAGTATGTGTCCATGTTACAGGGCTGGACATGCTGTGATTTGACTGAAATACTCTAACCTTGGACCCCCTGGTTCTTCACCACATGCAATTATGTGTGAAGACCTTTGTGGTCATCACTCTGATAAAGCCTGAGTCAGGCTACTATATAATGACCATATGGTTGTATGTGCAACTCAATCTTCATAACGGGATCGGGTGGTCAGACTTGCTGACTTGGTTGATGCATGTCATTGATCCCAATTATGTGGATCGATGCTCATGATATCAATCACTGGATTGTCTGGTCCAGACTCGATTATTTACAGACCGCCGTCATATAGCTGGAATATTGCTGAGAGCAGCGTTAAACAACAAACAAACAAACAAACAAACAATCTCCATAATGTGTCGTCATATCATGAGTCACTCACTTTCGAGATAATCATGAGAACATTCCAATGACCAAATGCAGCGGTAGAAATTGGCACTTGTCCTGTAGTCCTTACCAAACTGCCCAATAGTTAAGGTATCATAAGGACCAGTAGAAATTTGCCATTTTTAAGGGTTTTGCTATATGTTATCTAGTGGATTAAAACTGTTAGTTTCTAACGCTGATATGGTTGTATGTGCAACTCAGTCTTCATAATGTGTCCTCATATCATGTGTCACTCACTTTCGAGATAATCTCGTGACCATTCCGGGTTAGAACTGGTTTGCAGCAACCCATGCTGGAGGCTCACTGACTTGGTTGATGCATGTCATCATACCACTTTTCCCAATGGTGTAGATCGATGTCATGATGTCAATCACTGGATTGTCTGATTCAAATTCGATTATTACAGACCATTGTCATATAGCTGGAATAATGTTTGTTTAACGCCACACTCAGCATTATTCCAGCTTTATGATGGCGGTCTGTAATAATCAAGTCTGCATCAGACAAATCTGTGATTGACATCATGAGCATCAACATCCCATGTTGGAAGAGCTGGATTCCGTCTATTATTATCATGATGATGATTATATGACTCCTTGTGGGTTTCACAAAAGTGGTAAACATCTTGGTCCTTAAAGTGCTACGCTGTGCTATAACTGAAATACTGTTGAAAGCGGCGTTAAACCCAACTCACTCACTCACTCACTCACTCACTCACTCACTCACTCACTCACTCACTCACTCACTCAAAAAATTAGGAAAGATTCTTTGGACATGTTTTATTAACACATTGGTATTTTTTTCAGGCGAACTGGCGATTCTCTGTATGAATTGCTGGGACTTCAGAAAACTGCAACTCAAGATGACGTCAAGAGAGCTTACAGAAAGGCAAGTATAGCTATCTACAGGAACGAGAAAAGAAAGAAATATTTATATAAACATGAATGAAATGAAACGATATGTGTCATGATACCTAGGTCACGGTACGATACATATCGTGATACACATATTTATTTATGTATTTCGGAGTTGGTTCAAAAGAGAAAGCTAGCTGTAGACACATATTCGTAGCGTCTATTTTTTAACTTGAATTGCAAATACAATACATTTTACAATATTTGACGAAATTGCTGGGGGGGCACAAAACAAGTAGTCAGTAATTTTTTTTTAGCTAGTGTATCGTCATGTATTGATACAGTAAAAGATGTATCGTGTATCGTATCATCTCATGGAAACTCACGATGCATCGGTTCACTGATGTACCGTTTCACCCCAACTATCAACCACTAGTCAGTGTTAGAAATTGGCACTAGTCCTGTAGTCCTTGCCAAACTGCCAATAGTTCAGGTATCATAAGGACTAGTAGAAATTTGCCATAATAAAGAGTTTTGCTATATGTTATCATTATAAGGACTAGTGGACTAAACATGCTAAAACAGTTAGTTTCTGGGCCAGACTCATTTATTTGCAGACTCTGATACAGCTGTAATAGTGCTGACTACGGTGTAAAACACACAGACATATTGCTGACTAAGACCACTCATTCACTCCTTGTGTGGTCCTATGTTACATGAGGATGAATACTAGCAGTGTGGTAACAGCTTGTGTTATACCGGTATGCAACAGTTGGATAGATGGCCAGGTTTATTTCTAGAGCCTTGATGCAAGTATCACTGAACATGGTGAAAGAAAAGATGGCAACATGAAACAGCCAATTCTGTGAAATCGAACTCCATGGCTGTCAGATGCCGTCTTGTTGAGCTCCCTTATAAACAATCGCTTAGTCATTGTGTCCTGATCTCTAGGGCTCGAAATATGTAGCAACAAGCAGCAAAAATGCCACCTCAAAAAGTGTTTTGGTACATGAAAAAAACCAATAAAAACCATTGATAACTATTTCTATTAATACTGATTTTTGATTCGGGGTAGAATAGGTCTTCAGCAACCCATATTTGCTGTAAAAGGCGACGATGCTTGTCACAAGAAGCGACTAACGGGATCGGGTTGTCAGGCTCGCTGACTTGGTTGATGCATGTCATCGTACCCCAATATGGCGTGGTCGATGCTCATGATGTCAATCACTGGATTGTCTCATCCAGACTCGATTATTTACAGATCACCGTCATATAGCTTGAGTATTGCTGCTTTGTAGTATGTTCTGAAAAATTATGTATTTTGGGTGTAAAGAAATGTTTGGCTCCTCCTGTTAATACAATACCAATACAGTTGGTATGAGTGTTATTTGGGGGTGTCCAGGGCTTGAAATTAGAAAAAGACCAGGGCCCACTTGCACAAAACGATCTTAGCGCTAAGACTATTGTAAGCCTATGCTAAAGTATGGGAGTTACGATCATCTTAGCGCTAAGATCGCTTTGTGCAAGTGGGCCCAGATGTGCCCAAGGGCAAAGGACCTGTTTTTCAGGTGTACCTGCAAAACCTTCATAATTTTAACGATTTTGTGTCAAAATACGGAAAGAAGTGAGTACATTCAAATGTACTTTGTGCTATCCTGAACTTATCTTCAAATGTCTGTAACATACAGTCAATGGAAGTCGCCGAATAGTTATGTTTACGGTAATAAAGGTTGCCATGGTTTTGTTGTCATGGTTATATAATGATAGAAATGTGTTGTATTTTCAGCTGGCCCTGAAGTACCACCCAGACAAGAACCCCAACAACCCCGAGGCCGTGGAGACGGTGAGTGGGCTGAATCCCAATCCCATAGATCATGGTGCTAGGTTGGTCAGCACCATACCCGTGGATTTCACCAAAGGGATAAACATCTGAGACCCGCATCACTTCGAGCTTACCTTCCAGTTCCACAAGCTGATATGCTATGAAATGACTGAAATACTGTTCAAAGTGGTGCTACACCCAACTCACTCACTCACTCACTCACTCACTCACTCGTTCTTGTGGGACCTTGGAATAGAATTAGACCCTTGTTTGTTCAGTATATATACTGTTCGTCACGATATGGCTGAAATATTGCCGATGTGACGTTAAACTTTAACTCACTCACTCAGTATATATACTGACTTTACGAAACGAGTGTCAGAAGGTTTGTATTTCCCAAGTGAGAGTGAACGAAATACATGAATTCTTTCACAACTAAAATCAGTATGACACACATGCGAGAGGAATAATTGCTTTCATTATTTCTTTATTCTTTTGAGCTCCCCTTTAGAAAAATGCACTGATCACGACTGCCGTCTTTAAAAACGACAATTGTCGAATGACGTCTACAATCATCAGCTATGACGTCAATTCCAGTGTGATGTCATTCCGACCTTTCAACAAGGTGTTATACGTATGAGACCTGCATCTCTTAGGGCTTTCCTCCAACATTAACAGATTAAGCTGACACACTGTGATATAACTGGAATACTGTTCGAAGAAGCGTTACTCTGCCCACTCTCTCACTCATTTATTCGACCCATGAAGATCTGGGGTATAATAAGTCTTCAGCAACCCATTCTTGTCGTAAGAGGCGACTAATGGGATCGGGTGGTCAGACTCGCTTGACTTGGTTGATGCCTGGATCGATGCTCATGTAAAACAACAAACAAACAAACACTCATTCATGGGTACAATGTGTGAAGCCCATTTCTGGTGCCCCCCGCCGTGATATTGCTGGAATATTGCTAAAAGCGGCATAAAACCATACTCACTCACTCACTCACTCACTCACTCACTCACTCACTCACTCACTCACTCACTCACTCACTCACTCACTCACTCACTCGTAATCGTTTGAAATTTTCGTCTGTAAGATATTGCAGGTGAATATCTGTGTTGTAGTTCAAGGAGGTCAACCGTGCCCACAAGATCCTCATGGATTCCACACGGAGGGGAATATATGACCGGTATGGGTCCCTAGGGATCTACGCAGCAGAACAGTTCGGCGAGGAGAATGTCAACACTTACCTGGTTCTAACAAGTCCATGGTGCAAGGTGGGTACACATTCACAGAGGTGGGGGGGATTGGGCTGGGATTTTGTATATGACCAGATATTTTTGCAGCTACAGCTACAAAACCAGATAATTTTATCACGATCTCAAATTAGTTTGAAAATCGGTGTTGTACATATAGTTTTTACAGCGTTATGGCCCTTGCTCCCTGCATCTCAACTTGCATACGTCATCCTACGCCATTTGACATTTAAATGGCCGAAAGGGAACCACTTGCTGACAAGGACTTGGAGTTGGAGTTGATCACTTTCAAGACTGTTTTTCTGCTGGCCCTTGTGACTGCTGTATGTGTTAGCAATATCCATGCTTTGGATGTTAACCGAGTTCGAATGGTCAGAGAGTGGGAAGTTTTTTCTGAGCCTTCGCTGGGATAATATTGCAAAGAACCAGCTTCCCAGGACAATCAGATCAGCTGTTTATGATCCCATGGCTTGCATCCATCTTGAGCACTGATGACCTTGAAGATGTCTCCTTATGTCAGGTTCAAGCACTCCGAATCTGCTTGGAAGCTGCGAGACCACTTGGGTCTTCCCGGAAGAGGCTCTTCATCCCACTTTCAACCGTGACCTTAACCGAAGTCTCCCATATCACAACCCTTTTTTATCTCCGGTTGAACCTACTACGGGCCTACACTTTTGCTGGAATGCCACCCCTGATCTTCTCCAATCCTCACGTGACTCGAGCCGTTGCCTCTACTATGCCCTTGCACAGCAATTGCACCCTGATGCCATTATGAAAAGGTGATGTTGGAAGTCAGATGCGGTCTTTTCTTCCCACTCCGTTACAGTTGTCCAGGGCCTTCATCAATTCGGTTCCATGGTCCTGGTGCAGCAGCTGTCGACTGAACACCAGTGCAGATAACCGATGTGTGTTCCCGCTCCTGCTCTCTCGTACTACGCTCGTGTATAAATCTTACGACTTTTGTTCCTGTTTTTATGGTATTTTGATAGTTCAGGTTCCCAAACCGAGTTTCCTTTTGGAGGATGGATTCAACATCGAAGTCACCGCAAAGGGTGGCAGTTTCAACGGTGTCCCAACCCTTTATTCCACTCACGTCTGCCTTGAGCATATGTTGTTGGATACTGGCTCGAAGATCCTCTTGTTGATTTGGTTGATCGTTCCTCTTCCCCTCCTGGCATGCTTCCATCCCTCGGAGACCGCCTCCTTGGTGAAGTGGTAGAGCGTCTGCCTGGAGAGCGGAAGGTCCGGGGTTCGATCCCCAACTGCGTCATACCAAAAGACGTTAAAAGATGGTACTTGTTGTTGCCCTGTCTGGCGCTCGGCATTAAGGGGCTAAAACAAGGATTGGTCGGCTCGGAGTCAGTATACTGTGTCTGAGTGGGGTATTCATGTTAAACTGTGGCATTGTATCTCAGTGAGCTAGCACTATAAATCGGCATCAGTACGGAGTAGTACAAGCAGCCACACAAACACACACACGTCGCTATATAAGTGCAATAATCTTGGACGCGACGTTAAACCCCATTTCACCTCACCTACAATCCCTCGGACAGATTGATAGCTTTGATGAAGCATTAAGAGAGATGCTGAGTAGTCACACTCTCTTGTCCCCAGGTGACAGTGTTGTGTCCTGTCTTGTAGAATCAATTGACTGGCGACCCCATCTGGATCGATTATTAGTCTATGCTGTATCACTCTTTCTTTACAGTAACAATGTCATACGTGAAATCATGTTCCATGTGTTTTACCAGATTTCATACTGTACGTCCAAATAACATATCGGGATCGTATCACCAGTTTATGTGTGTTATCCAATCTCATTAAAATCAGATCTTAGTTCTCTGAGGACATCCCATTACGGGTCACATCAGATTTGGTTTGGGTGGTGACCATGGTGATGCACCATCATCTGCTGGAAGATTCGGTTTTTGTTGTTGTTTTGTGGAAGGAAAGGATAGTTAATCTCAGCAAAATCTGTGTATCAAGGACAAGGGACTCTAGATTTATTATGCAAGGAATTTCCCAGTGATTCGTTGACTGAACAATTTGGCAAAACATTTACTGTATTCGACATAATAAGCACCCAGGGCGCTCTCAAAATTAGAAATAGGGGGCGCTTATTAGAATAGTATTTTGGTGAAAAAAAACAGTTGAAAGATAAATTTAGCGGTATATTCTGACCGCCTGAAATGTTTATATACAACAGATATATTTTTCTAGAATTTAATTGCCCATAATTAAGGGTGCATATAACACACAAGTGCGTATTATACATAAAAAAAAAAGTCTTATGTACATTGATCAATCGGAAGGGGTGCTAATTGGGATTGTTCACTAGCCAATATATTAACAAATATCGCCATGGGCGCTTATTAGAGCGGGGCGCTTATTACGGCGAATACGGTATGTCTAATTGAGCCTCGAAAGTTTTCTAAATCATTTTTTATAACACTGAGCATTCTCAAAACAGTTTCCATGTATGATGTGTAAATAAGTGTAAATTCTTTTCAGTTTTAACAAAAATAGGGTCGGCGTGATCCAACAAATTAAAATAAAATAGCCTCACTCTGCCATTTCCGTACTAGTATGCATCAATATCTATTTTGGCCCATGAAGATCCGGGGTAGAATAGGTCTTCAGCAACCCATGCTTGCCGTAAAAGGTGACTATGCTTGTCTTAACAGGATCGGGTGGTCAGGTTCGCTGACTTGGTTGATGCATGTCATCGATCCCAATTGCATGGATCTATGCTCATGTTATCAATCATTGGATTGTCTGGAGCAGACTCAATTATTTACAGACCGCCGTCATATAGCTAGAATATTGCTGAGTGCGGCGTTAAACAACAAACAAACAAACAAACAAACAAACAATATCTAATTTGGTATCTAATAGAATTGAACATGTATGTGACTTTAGTGTCCCAGATTTTGATTTCTGACCATGCATCTTTTATTTCCGCCTTCAATCTGGAATTACACCATGATGGTTTGTTTTTTCCCCAGGCCTTCGCCATATTCTGCTGCGTTGTCACCGGCTGCTACTGCTGTTGCTGCTGCTGCCTGTGCTGCAACTTCTGCTGCGGCAAGTGTCGGCCACAGGCACCGGAAGATGAGGGAGAATATGCCAATCTACATGTGAGTACCTTATGAGCACTTTGGCTGCTGCCAGGTAGACAATAGCAGATTTATATTAATTTTGTAGTTAGTCGGGTAAATATGAGGCTCTCAGCAAAAGATTGCTTTGTGCTATCTGAAACATTTCACAGATGAAATTCAACATCCAGTGAAAAACATTTTAAGAAAATACATTACTGTATTTTCTTGAGTATAGTGCGCACCCATGTATAATGCCCCCCTCTAGCGGGTTCAATATTTCGGAAAAAAAGAAATTTGAATATTATGCGCAGAACAAAATTACACCGTACCCCTTCAGCGAAGTCCGGTAAACGTACGGGTGATGAGAAACTTGGTCAGTACAAATTCGAAATTTGAGATAAAAAATCACCAGACATGTTGATTTACCGTTTATATTGTATTTTGTGTTCAGCTAGGCATTGTTTTATATCCAGGGATTAAGATTACCTTGTGTATTTTCTCATAAAGTAAGCCGGACACAGCAATCAGCTGTACACACGTTTTCTTGGAATCTACCGGTGATTCGGTCAAGACACACCCAATGATGTAACTTTACAGTATTTTAATGCCAGGATCGGCAAAGGTTGTATCTCAAACTATTTTTTTATCAGGAATAATATATTCAAATATCTTGTCAATTTAGATGCAGCTTTTACTAAACATATTTAAATTAATAATAACCCTAAGCGAAGCAGCTGATCGCTATTGCCGGGTGTTTTTTTTTACATGGAACCAGTCTGACCAGGCACCGTCAAGGCTCCCGTGCACTTGATCGCGAGAATTACGTGTTGACATAGAATCGTCCAACAAAAACAAATATGACTTTTAAGGATTCAAAGTATGGCATTTATGATATATGCATCCATTCTCTGTCAACTAAAGTTCGTTTCAAGGCGTCAATAGCGGTAATCTGACCGTGGTTGCTGTTAATAACGGTGAGTTGTGCGAACTTCCGATCGCTTCACACACGATTTCGCCGAAACTAATTCAAACAATATTCAAAGGAATTTTGAATAAAATTAATGAAATAAGTTACAAAAATAAGTCCAGATATACAAAGAACACTTTTTATAACCAGACAGTGTGTAATTACATGAATAATTTGTGAACTTCAGTATGGATTTGTTGACATGGTATTTCCGGTGTTACGTGCTCACGGTAATGTCTTTCCATGGGGGAAAAAACATCAAAACTCATTAATTCGTGTATAATGCGCACCCCCTTCTACACAGCTGTGTTTTTTTGAAAAAAAGTGCGCACTATACTCAAGAAAATACGGTAAATTGATTTTGTCAAAGAACTTTAATCTTGAAACCATATTTACCACAAAAAGACAATATACCCGTAAATATGTCATCCCTGTGTAAGCAGGATCTTGCATCTGCTTATCTGAATACAAGGTTGTCATCAACATGCCCATATATGGACATACTGACTGTCTCAGGATGAACCAAGTGAATTATTTCATGATCATATATGGACATACTGATTGTTTCAGGATGACCAAGTGTTGTAAATATAATGAACATGCCCATATATGGAGATACTGATTGTTTCTGGATGACCCAAGTGTTGTCATTATAATGAATATGCCCATATATGGAGATACTGATTGTTTCTGGATGACCCAAGTGTTGTAAATATGATGAACATGCCCATATATGGACATACTGATTGTTTCAGGATGACCAAGTGTTGTAAATATAATGAACATGCCCATATATGGAGATACTGATTGTTTCAGGATGAACCGAGCGAGTCCCCGGAAGGGTCCCCAGTGACCACACAACCAGGCTCCGCAGCCTCCTTCAAGTCGACCGATGCCATCCCATGCCCCCCTCCCCCCTCAGAGACCACAAATCTTAACGCAGACAACAAGCCTCAGTACGGCTCGGAGGAAGCAAGTTGACCGTCCAGTGTCTCATAATGAATAACAAAGGCTCGATATTTTCACTTCCATATCTTGATATACACCAGCAGGGATAGCTAGTGTCCGGTTTGACGACTGACGGAAGCTGATTCATATTAGCATGCTGACTCAAGGAAGACCATTATCTTGTTTCAACAGTTTTTCCGCACTCAATCATTTGTTGAGAACGATGCAGGCTCTTGGTTTATAATATTCACTTTCTCTAAAAGCTGATCTGTTTTTGCTGGTTCTCTGAATGCAGTTATAGTCGAATAATTTTGAAGTCTTGGCAAAGTGAATATGCTTTTTCAAATTTATATAAATTTTAGGAAAATAATGTTTCTCTTTTCCACAATTAGATTTTAAAATAGATCTTTTTCTTCTCTTTCTGCAGAAATCTCCTGCTGTGCAAATTATGAAAAAAAAACTTTAAAAAAAGTATTATGGGTTTTCAAATTGAATTTAAAATTACCAAACAAACGATGAAATCCATGATACATTCCGGCATGTGTATTTTGTTGTACCAGTTGTGGACTTAGTGATAGAGAAACAGTTTGGAACAAGAGGTTCATTGACCATTTAAATTAATTAATCATGTATCAATTTAAACTTTTCTGAGAATTTATTATTATTAAGTTTTTAAACAATTGTGACTGAACAGAGGTGCTCACGTACTAAGAATGATCTCTTTAAATATACTTCTTAAAAGAAGTTAAGGACCACCCGATTCTTTCATATTGCTATAGGTCATCTGTCTTTACAGATGAACTATAGCAATATGAAAGAATCGGGTGGCATGACAGATTAACTATAGTAATGTGAAAGAATCGGTTATCCTTGACTTCTTTTGAGTAGTATAGATGATCCTGGCAAAGGTGTTTCATGTTAGTTTTCAGTCTCTTTATTATATACTCTTTGACCCAAATAGCATGGTGGTTGATACTTTTCGACAATTTTGTTTGGATTTTAAGTATTTTGTTATGTGTGATACTTTTCTCCATCCCGACTGAATGTGAAGCAGGGGAGACAACTCAGACACAGCCGACGACGACATCAATTTCATACATTGGATCAGCTTATTAAGCTGACAGTTTAAAAGCAACCTTTTACATTTGTCTTTTCAACTTGATCTTTCAGAGAAAGTAGAATATTCCTGAAATCTTTGTGCAACCGAAATTCAATTTGTTTTAGATATATTGCGAACATTAGAAAGCAGCTTAATAAAACATCAGTCATGATTGTCATGATAGACCATGATATAGTCCAAAATGACTGTTGAAGTTTCAGATTTTATAATCTTTTTTTAAACCTTGGAATATGTTTTATCTGGAGTCATCCCATTAACACATGACTCCTATTTATTCTTAGTATTCTGACCTAACAGCTATTAATATGGTCAGGTGACCAACTCATGTTTACATAATGAGAATTACTATAAATACTAAAACAATGTATCCAAGTTTGTGCTATTTAACTTAAGCCTTTAACTGCTGTTTCAACGGTGACTTAACCCTATTTTCAAATTAGCAGAGAGCTTAATATGTATTAAGGTGACAAGTTGCAGTGATTTAGAGTTATCTGCCCCTGGTGTGTACTAAATGTTGGAATGGACCAAAGCCTCAGTGTGAAAAGAATCCTGTCCGACATGGTTACAAATTGATTTCAGTTTGTCACAATGGTTGTTTCACAGTGACAATCAGTGTTAATGTAAAATGTTATTTTATCATTTACTTCTAAAAAAATGCCAAGGACCACCCGATTCATTCATAATACTACAGATAATCTGTCATAGCATGACACATTAACTATAGTTATATTAAGAATCGGGTGGTCACAACTTCTTTTGAGCAGTATGTAATGGACAGTGTTATCGAAGCGATAAACCAATCCGATAAACAATTAGATGGTCTCACGATTTGATAAATATGCAAATGAGGTCACCTAGCAGGAACTACTTTCAAACTTGCATATATTTGTTTTTCAATGACAGCTCAAACAAACAATAATGAAGTAACACTCCAAGTAAGTTTTGATCGGGTTTTCCCGATGTGTCACTGCTTCTGTTGACAATTATGGCTGCAAAGCATTTGGCACTATATGATAGGTAGGGAAGTTCGCTTCATAATTGTATTCATACACGGTTTCTAAAGTAACTTCAGTGAGTGAAAATACTTCGATCTAAGCGTTGATTATTTTAAGAATGACATTATTAACCTTGTGTGTGTCAAATATAAGGAATATAAAATATGTATTAAGCTCGCAATACAGTTTTTATTCTGACGTGATATGTATGATACGGAAACACACTTGGCTAATAATGTCTGTTTCTTGCTGCCAGTGAAAACATCAGCTACGTTTGCCCGATCTCACATGATGTAACTGCAAAGACAAACTGGTTGTACATATCAAAGAACTTGTTAATATATATGTATATCTACATTATTCACTACCATGAATGCTGGTACCCTAGAAATATTGAATTATATGAACTGGACTAGAAGTCCTGATGTTTATGCAACTTGTCATAGTAACTTTCTCAAAAACTGTTGACTCAAGCATTAAAAGGCATTCTTAGCTTTGAGGCATTATTGTGACGCCATTATCGTTTTCATTTCTTCTCTATATTTGAAAGATTTCCAAGGCCAATATGCCAAGTGACATGCGATATAGTATCACAGCCTAGCTTTGAGTGCTGACTCTAGTCTGCCTTGCTCTATAACATTCAGTTCAGTGATACTTTTGAAGTAGGATTAAACATGTTGATGAAATATATTATCGCTTCTGACAAATACATTTACTTTGTATAAGAAGGAAGGAAAGATGATTATGAATTTACACTTTGAATTAATTGTGTTTAAACAGTCTGTTGAAGTATATCAGGTTTGTTGTCATGAATCAGTTCATATAGAAATATTAAGATTGTTTCAAATTGTTATTTAATATGCTGAAGGCGTCTTTACCTCTATACATAAATGGATTCATGTATATATGATATATACTATATATAGCTATATATATGTTTACTTTCAACCTGTATCTAGATTCATAGTACAACCGTTGAACATATCACAGCTGATTTCCACCTCTTCTTTAGGGGGCATGCATGGCCAAAAGGTCTATTCACAGTTGCATCCCTTAGCACTGCCAGGATCCTGTTCCCAGATTCACCCCAATTATGATCCTTCTCTCTGTCATACCAATGCTTATGAGTTTCACCAAAGTGGTAAACATCAAAGACATGCAGCATTTTGGACTTACCTCCCACTTTAAGCTGCCACGGTATAATATACTTGCTGAACCTACTCAGTTACTTTGCTGAAATTGTATAAAAGTGTATTGAAAGTGTATAAGTTATCAACCCCAGTCAACTCGTTCTTTGAGCTTCAGCAACAATTATTGGAACCAAACCATTGCTGTTTTGATTTTTATAATGATTTTGGGGGGTATTATTGATGTAATGCGGCTTGATGTTCTTCTCTGTACTTTAAGTGTCATTAATTCCAAATTTTATTATTGAGCTGGTCTCATTTATTGACAAGACTTTGTGATATGCTGTCTTTGATAAAACTTTATGACATTATCAAGCTCTTGCTGCATATCGCTAACAAGCTCTTGCTGCATATGGCTATCAAGCTTTTGCTGCATATGGCTATCAAGCTCTTGCTGCATATGGCTATCAAGCTTGTGCTGCATATGGCTATCAAGCTCTTGCTGCATATGGCTATCAAGCTCTTGCTGCATATGGCTCTCAAGCTTTTGCTGCATATGGCTGTCAAGCTCTTGCTGCATATGGCTATCAAGCTCTTGCTGCATATGGCTATCAAGCCGTTGAAGATATTTGTGTCAAGGACAGGGTTTCAATTTCAATATGATATTATCATGCTGATGATCACGAAACTGTTAATCATGTCCTCGATTAGTTTATTTCCTGTTATTAGATGTTCTTCCAGAGAACTAAGTGCCATGTCTGCATGATAGGTTCAGCACCACTGAGAGGCAGTCATTGTTGAATGCAATACCACCAAACTGTTGAGATCAGTTTTCAACCGACATATCTAAGAATAGATTTAGTTCATCCAGCTTTCTGTCCAGGGATAGTTCTCTCTGTAGAACAAGTGATTTTACTTGAGCTGTGCAATTGGTTCTATACAATCAAATCTAAATTGGCCTGATTCACAAATGGTTTGGTGCCATTATTGATTGCCTCTTTTCGATGCAAGATTTCAATAGGACACAGTTTATTTGTGTTATTCTACACAATTTGTATTTAATAAACTGTAGGATGTTTAATGTGATTGTTGATGTGTCCCTGTTCTTGAAATGTCAGTTTGTGCAATAGATGTGATGGAATCAGTGGAGGTGAACACTAGCGTCTTCACTTTGTCGACTTGGTTTTAACCTTGGTATGTCAGTTGATTCAGGCTTTGTTAGGACTATCAACTACAAGGCCGACTTCCCTGTACGTAGAGCATGTGTGGTTCAGCATCATGGACCATCATGTAGGATCAGTTCCCACTTGTACGCGTTGACTCCAACAAGGCTGTGACTGTTGTGTTTGTTCTCTCTGTGAAGGCCAGTTCTTGCATTGAATACATTTAGCATTTACTTGTATTTACATTGTATTTGCATTGCATTGCATTTTCACTGAATTGAATTGCATTGTATTTTTGCTGAATTGCATTGCATTGTATTTTCGCTGAATTGAATTGCGTTGAAATTTCACTGAATTGGATTGTATTGTATTTACAGTTCCCTTCATTTCATTTCATTTGCATTTGTGTAGGTAATATCCTTGCAACATTACAATTTGCCCTGTGAGTTCATTCATGCAACACTTTCACTTTATGCTTTCTTTTAGATGTAACAGTTTAAACACTGGTTAATATGGTTTTGTCATGTATAACAATATTTTCCCAATTCTTTGACTATACATTTATATTAGTTTCCATGAGTGATGTTCCTACCATTGCTTCAATACTACCCAATCTCATTAAAATCAGATCTTAGTTCTCGCTGCCGCTAAACAAAGAGTTGAGGACATCCCATTACGGGTGACGTCAGACTGACCTTGCGCGAACTTTGATCAACCGATAGAAGGACTGACAAGAAGTCCACATTAGCCAATCAGAAGGCAGCTTTCCCTTTACGGCACTAATTTTAATTTGGCGACTACGCTTCGAAACATATTTTGACAAATTCTCGATTACAAATTTGAACCTGAACAAAAGAACATTAAGGAATGGCTAATAGAATGTCTACATTGTATGGATTAAGTTGTTAAATTATCATTCGGAATATCCCATGTTAAAGTTTTTGAGGCTGCATTATCAGAATTCACATTCCGAATGTCACTTTCATGATCTGGTAAGCGACGCTCTGATTGGTCGGATGAAAGGTTGGTCTGACGTGACCCCTAATGGGATGTCCTCAGATCTTTGTTTGGCGGTAGCGAGAACTAAGATCTGATTTTAATGAGATTGCAATACTACCTTTAATACCAATGTTGGTTGATAGTTTATGCAAAGATTTCAAATTGCTCACAGTGATCTACATTATTATGTCACCATCCCTTTGGCATAATTGAAGCAAGAGGAACAGATGTGTTTTAAACAGATGAGTTTTAAACTTGTATCAAAGCGTGTTCATATATTTGATAAGACATGAGAGTGAGATTTTGTTTATCATGCAAAATCATTCTTCAAACATTTTCAGTTTGTAAACAGTAATCAGCATTGTCTTGAGTGTGACAAGTACTGCTAACCAGCTTCAGTAGCAGAGATATCAGGGATGTCATTTCATTATTACCTCCTGGTAATTTAGTTGACGTGATATCTCCTGTGGAGGCAGGTGGTGGATGATAAATTACTTCTTATTAAGTACTTGGTGAGTAGAAACCATGCATTTTTTGAGACAGCAACATTTTTTTCACGAGATCCACATCCAGTGAACATGATTATATTTATCTCAGCGTGAAATATTGCTAAAAGGGGTGTAAAACCATCACTTATCATTCCCTCACTGCTAACATCTAAATTGGTACATCTTCATCATGTCCAAGCATAGGATTAAAATCTGATCTAAACTATGTCAAATTGGTGAAGTCATTCATGGTTATTTTTAAAATGGACATGAAATTTCCTGTATATCTATTTTCCTGTATAGAAAAGTAAACTGGGATACAGAAACTTCAAAAGATTATCTTTCCTTCACTGTCTCTGCTTAGAATTACCAAAATTACCTAGAAAAGTGCAAATGAATTACCCAAAATTACCTAGAAATTGCCAAGAAATTATCCAAAATTACCTAAGAATTACCCAAAATTACATTGAAATTACCCCCAAATACCTGGAAATTACCAAGAGATTATCAAGATATCTATGGGGTGAAACTCTGTGGATATATGTATGTTACACACTGTACACTAAACTGTACCGCATTAAAAGGCTCGTGCATAATAGATAAGATAAATGTCCCAGGAGTGTTGCTGTTGTTGACTGGAGAAAGGTGATGTGTTACGAGTTGGACACTTTTAGCATGGACTGTTTGTATTAAACCAGTTGTACTTTATTACTATTCCCTCCTCAAACTATGTGAAACTATCAGCGTCTATTGTAATCATAATGGTTACGATATTCACAGTAACAGGGTTAGGGATTTGCAGGAGAAACAACTCTTATGTTAGTTTGTTTTTGGCATTCTTTGTTATCCTCATTTGTCAAGGTGGGT